CATCCATCTAGTTGATTTATACTTGATCCCAAGCAGGGCAGTAGCTACATATGAGAACACTGAGGTCGGGACCTCTGTCATTTATTCGAATGTAAAAAATAAATAATTAGGAACTCAGTGGCTAAATTACCGACCGGGCACGCAGGGCACGTGCCCAGGGGCCCCGACCTCCAGGCAGCCCCCATTGACTTTGTTAGTCATTCTCACTCCGATATATTAACATGGCATAAGTCATGGCAAAATGTGTAGAATGCAGGAAATTAGCAGTAAAACTGCAACAACCACAAAAAGTTATGTAAAGCAAACGTATTTGTTAACCTTTTGTTCATAAAATAATTTTTCTGCTAACAGATCCTGTAAGTATTCAATTATAGTCTTTAATCCCGGTGCTGAGTTAATGAGAGTTAATGTGTAGCGGCTAATTGTATAGCAATGTGATAATGGCTGGGTTCATTTTTGCTTGTTTTTTGCTGTTCTCCAAATAGCATTTCTTAGTTTTTTAATTGTATAGAAATGCAGTAAATGAGCTTATAACTTCTTAAAATTTTGTGGATATTATTAGAATCTTGAAGGAGTTCCCACATATGCTGAGCAATTGTTGGCTGCTTTTCCTTCACTCTGCGGACCAACTCATCCCAAACCATCTCAATTGGGTTGAGGTCGGGTGATTGTGGAGGCCAGGTCATCTGATGCAGCACTCCATCACTCTCCTTCTTGGTCAAATAGCCCTTACACAGCCTGGAGGTGTGTTGGGTCATTGTCCTGTTGAAAAACTAATTATAGTCCTACTAAGTGCAAACCATGCTGGTTAAGTGTGCCTTGAATTCTAAATAAATCACTGACAGTGTCACAAGCAAAGCACCCCCACACCATCACACCTCCTCCATGCTTCACGGTGGGAACCACACATGCGGAGATCATCCGTTCACCCACACCACTTCTCACAAAGACACGACGGTTGGAACCAAAAATCTCAAATTTGGACTCATCAGACCAAGGACAGATTCCCAATGGTCTAATGTCCTTTGCTCGTGTTTCTTGGCCCAAGCAATTCTCTTCTTATTATTGGTGTCCTTTAGTAGTGGTTTCTTTGCAGCAATTCGACCATGAAGGCCTGATTCACGCAGTCTCCTCTGAACAGTTGATGTTGAGATGTGTCTGTTACTTGAACTCTGTGAAGCATTTATTTGGGCTGCAATTTCTGAGGCTGGTAACTCTAATGAACTTATCCTCTGCAGCAGAGGTAACTCTGGGTCTTCCATTCCTGTGGAGGTCCTCATGAGAGACAGTGTCATCATAGTGCTTGATGGTTTTTGCGACTGCACTTGAAGAAACGTTCAAAGTTCTTGAAATTTTCTGGATTGACTGACCTTCATTTCTTAAAGTAATGATGAACTGTCTTTTCTCTTTGCTTATTTGAGCTGTTCTTGCCATAATATGGACTTGGTCTTTTACCAAATAGGGCTATCTTCTGTATACCACCCCTACCTTGTCACAACACAACTGATTGGCTCAAACGCATTAAGAAGGAAATAAATTCCACAAATTAACTTTTAAGAAGGCACACCTGTTAATTGAAATGCATTCCAGGTGACTACCTCATGAAGCTGGTTTAGAGAATGCCAAGAGTGTGCAAAGCTGTCAAGGCTACTTTGAAGAATCTCAAATATAAAATATATTTTGATTTGTTTTACACTTTTTTGGTTACTACATGATTCCATATGTGTTATTTCATAGTTTTGATGTCTTCACTATTATTCTACAATTTAGAGAATAGTAAAAATAAAGAAAACCCTGGAATGAGTAGGTGTGTCCAAACTTTTGACTGGTACTATATATATATATATATATATATATATATATATATATATATATATATATATATATATATATATATATATATAGCCTACCATTGTACTATACCCTACTTCTGTATAGCCAATGTGTAATGTTTTCTTTCCATATAGGATGTTCATTATGAGCAGCATTTTATCATCAATTAAAAGGCACAATCTGTATGATTTATATATTCTACTATACATTTTTGAAGAATAAAATAAATGCCTATAATGAGCCAACTGTCCTAGCCCAAATGTAGGCTATCACTCCCCTTTTGGTTTCTGTTGTCATGTGTAGTCTACTACTACTACTACACTACCAACATTGACAAAATAAGTTTAGAGCTATTTTTAGAAATAGAAACGGATATTTGAAAAGAAAATACAGATGAGTCACTGAACCCTGGGGCCTAATTTTTGGTCACTTTCCTACGTAACCGAGACCGCAGTTGACAGTTTATTGTGGCCCATTGTTTACTACCCCCAAGCGGTCTGAGATGCATCAGAGCGGTTACAGCGGTAGTGAATTAAGTACATACCTTTCTGATAGCGTCGACGGACTCGGGAATCATTTGCAGACGAGATGCCATTCAGTGCCTCGACCGACAGCAGCCTCACAGGTGTTGGAAGGTAATTTGTCATTTGTCCACATGATGTCGTTATTCACACAAAGTTGGACGAAGCAATTTATAAACCATGCATTAAAATACCATAATTATTTTCACGTTCATTTTTAGGGTTACTCCCTCTGGTCCTGTCAAACTTACTAAGAACATATTTAATGTATTTCAGTGTTTATAGCCTATGTTCATCAGCACAGTAGGCCTAATTATGTTTTATCATGTGATTAAAACAGGTGCTGCCAATAATGGCCAGGTTGATGACACTCTGCAGACAGCCATAAGGAGATGCTTTTTGACTAAAAGGAATACCAAAAAGTAAGTTTGATTTACATCTTCTCCTGACATTCAAGGAATTCATTGAAGACTTCTCAATAGTAGGCCTAATGTAGCAGGGACTCTGTGTGCACTGATGTGTTGAAACATGACTAGAATGGACATGGTCCTGAGTTTGACATTGTATATCATTAAATGTGTCTTATTGTGCAGATTAAATATGCACACAACCATAATGCACATTGCACACATTCTAATGTACTGTAGCCTAGGTTGTTGAGCTCTGACTATTCCTAACCTAGCCCAAGATGTACTCTTAAGGAGCCCAAGGTTACCGTTACTCCTTAAGGTCCAAGGACCTTGTGTTCTTTTCAGAGGTAGACTGGCTCTGGCAACCAAATACTCCATCTAAACGTGAATTGAATCTCAATTGCAATACGGTTCTAGAAACATAAAGCCCTTTAATTTCATATCACATCTAAATAATTTCACAAATGCAGAATACACACTTACTGTACACTGTTTTAACCGGCTTTAAAACAGTTGCAGCCGACAGTATTTTTCAGTGACAACACGTTTTCGTCCAATGACTCTTATGTGTAATGTAATGTAACTAAGAGTCATGATCAAGGGCTAGTCCTGACTCTGGCACCTATTTTGACCCAGTGCAAGAAGGCTGAGGTGGTAAGTGGTAACGCGGTTGTGACCCGAGTTACCCTAGCTGTATTACTGAGTCAGGGTTTATAGTGAAGATGATCCTGTAATGCCACTGTGTTTAATAATGTGCCTCTGGCTTGTGTAACGAGGTGTGTGTTGTAACAGCACATCAGCATAAACAGCAGGACATTGTCATCTCAATGAACTTAAGCATTTTATCACACTCTCCTGCACTTCTCTCTGTCCCTAATCCGTTTGTGTACTTTCATTTTTTGGCTGAGCGAACACAGCCAGGTGTATGTGTGTGCTTGTTTTTTTTAGATTTGAGATGCAGTTGAATTGTTTTCATTTGAGTGTGTATGTTTGTTCTAAATGTTCCTGTGGTCCAGTGAGCTTGTGAATGCTCTGTATTGTTGTGGGGAATGTCTGTGTGTAAAAGCTAGAGGGTCACAGACAGTGTGTGAAATAACTGGCAACAGAGAGTAAATTGTGAAAGAGTCCAGTAATTTCTCACCAAACTAAAGGACTGCAGGAGGTCTTGACACTTTGTTCTGTAAAATGTCCTTTCAGTCCCTCAACACGTGAAAGCCAAGGCGGTCGCTCCATCCCCAGTGAGCCTGAGGTTTCATTGGACTACACCAGACATGAGGTCAAAGGACAAGTGTGTACATCAGTGGTTTTGCTGCCCAAAAAATGCCACTGCTGGTGTGTGCTGCTATTCTCGGTTGGAGATTACCCATTTTTAGCTCAGATCTGATCAGACTCAATGATGAGGGTTTTGCATATAATCTGTGATTGAATTGATGTTATTTTTTTGTCACACCTCGGTTTTAGTCAGATGAATCCTGTCTACACCAGCAGTTTTGTATTTTGATACTTTGCATCTTTTTGATTTACCACAGTTGAATTATGACCCACATTATGTAAGCCATAGAATCTACACACTACCATCTAAAGCTAAATCTGACCTTTGTTTTGCAATGTGGATGGTGTGATAAAGTTGAAAGTGCAGGGCACTCCCTATGATGTATAATTAAAGTGATGTCATTGTGTTCCGTCAGATGGCGTCATTCTAAGGTGACACGCCGTTGCCAGGAGTCCGTGCAGACGGCCATCTGACGTGAGACAATGAGTGACGTGTGAGATACATTGGTCAGATAACAACAACAACAAGGTTGTGGTCCTACTGATGGACTCACATCAGTAGGCCCACTAATATTGCCATCTTGATTTACAGCACTGGGATTTGTCACGTTTCTATTTTTTGAAACTCTATAGTGTAACTGTGTGTCTTAGACTGTGGTAATCAAGTTTGGTCAGACACTATGCCTTGGGGCTATATCAGAGGACAGACCCACAGTGTGTCAATTTAAGAAGTGGCTTCTGCTCTTTTTACTGGCAAGGCCAGCCATATCTGCCCTGGGCTTAACTACATGGAAATTCACTCATTCACATCAAACATAAATTAGAAAGACAGAATAAAGAATAGGAGTGACACACATCAGATTGCAGGGCATTACAGTATAGGGGCAAGGGGCGGAATAGTGGGAGGGTGCAGAGAGTTGCTCAATATAACTGACTGCATACAGTCGACAAATTAGAACAAAGGTGAAAGAACAAGTGATGCAAGTAAGAGAGGGAGCAAAAAGAGACGACAGTGAGAATTCAAGGATCCTTCGATTTAGAAATTGGACCTTTGTTTCACAGAGACGGGAGAGCAAGCCAAAGAAGGTAACCAAAACTCAATACAGACCAGAGATTTAGTGACACAATTGTCCTCTCTGTTTTATATTACTTTAGCCAGGAAGGAAGGAATGTTTCAAGATGATTTCATTAGCAAAGTGTTTTTCTTTTGTAGAATTACTTTATTTTTGTAAAACTGTCTTCATTTTGGACAGATAGGTAATAGTCACAAGAGACCATTACAGTATTATGAAGTGCTAGCTGTGGTAAGCTACATTATGGTAGTTGACATCTCGAGTGTCTGTTGTAGCCTACACATGTGACACAACATATTCTGTCTGTTAGTGGGCTGTCAAGGGTTGCATTTCTCTCCAGCAATATTACTGTTTGGAGCTGTATTCATGGCTTGCTTATGTGTTTATGTAGGTCATGTTTCTCTCATTCGAATTACTTTTGGGTAAAAAGATTTCCACCAGTGCTGTGTTCAGTCAGTGTGGTGATAGCCTCACCTGCTGGTGATATGTTGTAACTGCAGTGTAAAGACTACATTGGTGAATCCCCAGGTGCTGTTAGCCGAGGACCCAAAGGATGGATTATGCCATGAAGTCCCTCAGTCTCCTGTCCCCTGCCTCACTCTCCAAGTAAGAGCCTGATGCCACACCACTAAGGGGATGTGCCCTATTGGTAGCACTACTATTGGTCATCATAAGACTGCATTCAGTAATGTTTAATGTTTGTTGATTTTGACATTGTAGGACATAAGTCATAGTCAAAATTAGCATCGTTTTCCAATAGATTTTACATCATTTGACTCTGTGTGCTTGCATATGTGTCTCCATCAGGTGTGTGACAGCCAGTGCCTCCATGACCCAGCAGCTCCTCGTCGGGACTCCTCGGCCTAAGCCCTTCCGGGTCACCAGTGCTGACCGCAGCGTTAAGAAGGGAATCATGGCTGATGGGCTACGAGACCTACTCAACAAGGTGAGGAGAACGGTGGAGGAAAAGGGAGGGATGAAGGAGAAGGAAGAGGGTGTTTGAGTGAGGACTACAAGTTTGAATGAGAGAAGAGTAGTTTATGAGTGAGGGAGGAGAGGGAGTCTGGTTACCTATTCTTTACTTAGTCATGGCATCATCATTTCAATCCAGTGAGCAATGTGACTCAGAGATGGATAAAGGAATGAAAGGATGGGTGAGTCAGAGGCTTTCAAAGGGAAGCAGAAAGAACTAACGGTTTTCCTCAAAGGCTTGTATGCTGGAGTACGTGCTCACATGCACATACTGACAATTGTCTCTGTTGTTCTGGTCTCCAACTGTGACACTACTGCTGTCTTACGCACATCTTTGAAAACTTTAACTTAATCCGGATAATGATAATAAATGTTAATTAAGCTTTTCAGGAACTACCTACTCAGCAGAGACATGCAAATGTATTCATACACTCGGTATTTGCATTATTCACTGTATAAATCTATGACGCGCAAGAGAATGGAGTGGCTAAGTACAGTTGAAGTCGGAAGTTTACATACACTTAGGTTGGAGTCATTAAAACTCGTTTTTCAACCACTCCACAAATTTCTTGTTAACAAACTATAGTTTTGGCAAGTCAGTTAGTCGGCATGACACAAGTAATTTTTCCAACAATTGTTTACAGACAGATTATTTCACTTATAATTCACTGTATCACAATTCCAGTGGGTCAGAAGTTTACATACACTAAGTTGACTGTGCCTTTAAACAGCTTGGAAAGTTCCAGAAAATGATGTCATGGCTTTAGAAGCTTCTGATAGACTCAAATTATGTCAATTAGCCTATTGGAGGTGTACCTGTGGATGTATTTCAAGGCCTACCTTCAAACTCAGTGCCTCTTTGCTTGACATCATGGGAAAATCAAAAGATATTAGCATTACCTCCACATGTCTGGTTCATCCTTCGGAGCAATTTCCAAATGCCTGAAGGTACCACATTAATCTGTACAAATAATAGTATGCGAGTATAAACACTGTGGAACCACGTCTTCCAAATGGACAATGACCCCAAGCATACTTCCAAAGTTGTGGCAAAATGGCTTAAGGACAACAAAGTCAAGGTACTGGAGTGGTCATCACAAAGCCCTGACCTCAATCCTATAGAACATTTGTAGGCAGAACTGAAAAAGCATGTGTGAGCAAGGAGGCCTACAAACCTGACTCAGTTACACCAGCTCTGTCAGGGGGAATGGGCCAAAATTCACCCAACTTATTGTGGGAAGCTTGTGGAAGTCTACCGGAAACGTTTGACCCAAGTTAAACAATTTAAAGGCAATGTTACCAAATACTAATTGAGTGTATGTAAACTTCTGACCCACTGGGAATGTGATGAAAGAAATAAAAGCTGAAATAAATAATTATCTCTACTATTATTCTGACATTTCACATTCTTAAAATAAGGTGGTGATCCTAACTGACCTAAGACAGGGCATTTTCACTTGGATTAAATGTCAGGAATTGTGAAAAACTGAGTTTAAATGTATATGGCCAAGGTGTATGTAAACTTCCGACTTCAACTGTAACTACTTTCGAGAGGGGGAATGATTCAGTAGCATGACTGGACTCGTTCTATATCTCTTCCAGGCTAATGGGGTAGTTTGTTCCCTCTCAGGCCATGGACTCTCTGCACGTGTCCTGCGTCAGTGCCCTGGTGCTGGATGAAGACGGGACGGGGGTAGATACGGAGGAGTTCTTCCTGACCCTGCCAGACAACGCTGTCCTCATGGTCCTGGAGAAGGGGCAGAAGTGGACACTTCCACAGGTTGGTAGGGCGACATATGCATGACCATCTTACCACAGGTCCACCAGGTGGCGCCATTACACAGGGTCACTCTGATAGAATTGTGAAGAGGACTCACTTCTGTGTATATCATCATCATTGCCGATGTGTTTAGAGAAAATGGGACAAACGAGAAAATCTACTACTCCCGTATTGTATATGAATGACCTGAACTTTTGGGATTTAATATACAGTATGCCTATTCAGAAATGATTCCATTCCGATAAATGCAAAAGCATTCTTATTCTGGGTGAAGAGTTGAGTGAAAGTATGTGTGACATATATGGCAAATCATAACCCCTTAATTAGTTACCTCACAATTTTGGGCATAATTAAAGCACCATTTGAGTCAGAGTTGAGTGGTGTTTGTTTTTCCAAAGTAGATAATTTCCATTTTCATTAAATGATGTGCTGCCACCTGAATGGCATCACCCTGTGTGTTTACTTGGCTCCTGTCATGTCATGCTGAGCGTGTTACATTAACATAATACAATTTCCTCACCTGTTGTCCTTCCGCTGTTCAGAATGAATTAATCTGTATTCAAATGTTTGTTACGTTCCTTTGCAGATGACTGGAGCTCTTGGGTGGAGGGGAGGAAAAATGTTTGTGTGGGGGGGAACTAGCTAGTCTTGCGTTCATCCATCTTAGTTTGACAGACACTAAGTGGCAGAGGTTATCTATGCAGTTTTCCTTCACACTCAATTTACGTTTCCCTCAAATAAGCTGTAGGAGACTAGACTTAATTTGTGTTAACTGGGGAAAATTGATTTGCTCTTGTTTCTCCTCTATCTCATATCCCTCCCTCCCTCTGTCTCCACCTTTCTACTCCCAGAACACTCATCCCCGAATGCAAAATGAGCTCAAACACCAGTGCAGGAAAGATGTGGCTAGAATAACCTTTGACCTATACAAGAACAACCCTCAGGATTTCATTGGCTGTCTGAATGTGAAGGCCACCCTGTATGGCACCTACTCTGTGTCCTACAATGTGCGCTGCTACGCTGCCAAGAAGATGCTGAAGTGAGTGATCTGTGTGTGTGTGTGTGTCACTGTCTGTTTATGTGGGTAGTTGAAGGTGAGGAGGTAAGGTCTAGGAAGAGGTTGAGTTGAATCAGTGCCTTCAGAAAGTATTCACACCCCTTGACCTTTACCACATTTTGTTGGATTTAATTGTCGTTTTTTTCCCAACTATTTTTCAACAATGTATGGAAAATAAAACACTAATATAGCTTAATTAGATAAGTATTCAACCCCCTGAGTCAATCACAGGAGGCTGCTGAGGGGAGAACAGCTCATAATAATGTCCGGAACAGAGCAAATGGAATAGCATCAAACACCTGTAAACCATGTGTTTGATGTATTTGATACCATTCCACTGATTCCGCTCCAGCCATTACCACGAGCCCGTTCTTAAGGTGCCACCAACAACCTGTGGAGTCAATACATGTTAGAATCACCTTTGGCAACAATTACAGCTGTGAGTCTTTTTGGGTAAGTCTCTAAGTGCTTTGCACACCTGGATTATACAATATTTGCCCATTATTCCTTAAACAATTATTCAAGTGCTGTGCTGTTGGATGTTGATCATTGCTAGACAGCCATTTTCAAGTCTCACCATAGATTTTCAAGCCGATTGATTCCAAACTGTAACTAGGCCACTCGGGAAAAGTCAATGTCATCCTGGTAAGCAACTCCAGTGTATATTTGGCCTTGTGTTTTAGGTAATTGTCCTGCTGAAAGGTGAATTTGTCTCCCAGTGTCTGAACCAAGTTTTTCTCTAGGATTTTGCCTGTGCTTAACTTCATTCAGTTAATTTTTATCCTAAAAGACTCCCTAGTCCTTGCCGATGACAAGGATACCCATAACATGATGCAGCCACCACCATGCCTGAAAATATGAAGAGTGGTACTCAGTGATTTGTTGTGTTGGATTTGCCCCAAACATAATGCTTTGTATTCAGGACAAAAAGTGATGTTCTTTGTCACATTTTTTGCAGTATTACTTTAGTGCCTTATTGCAAACAGGATGCATGTTTTGGAATATTTATATTCTGTACAGGCTTCCTTCTTTTCACTCTTTCATTTATGTTAGTATTGTGGAGTAACTACAGCCTCAGTTTTCTCCTGTCACAGCCATTAAACTCTGTTTTAAAATCACCATTGGCCTCATGGTGAAATCCCTGAGCGGTTTCCTTCCTCTCTGGCAACTGAGTTAGAAAGGGCGCCTGTATCTTTGTAGTGACTGGGTGTATTGATACAACTTCACCATGCTCAAAGGGATATTCAGTCTTCTTTGCAAACAATTGGAAAACATCCCAAGTCTTTGTGGTTGACTCTATGCTTGAAATTCCCTGTTCGACTGAGGGACCTTACAGATAATTGTATGCGTTGGGTACAGAGTTGGGGTAGTCATTTCAAAAATCATGTTAAACACTATTATTGCACACACAGTGTGTCCATGCAACTTAAGTGACTTGTTAAGCACATTTTTACTCCTGAACTTATTTAGGCTTCCCATGTCAAAAGGGTTGAATACTTATTGACTCAAGACATTTTAGCTTTTCATTTGTAATTAATTTGTAAACATTTCTAAAACAATTCCACTTTGACATTATGGGATATTGTGTGTAGGTAAGTGACACAAAATCTCAATTTAATCAATCTTAAATTTAGGCTGTAAAACAACAAAATGTGGCAAAATGTTGAGGGGTGTGAATACTTTCTGAAGGCACTGTATGTTCAGATAAATTTAGGAAGGTTATGGCATACGTGCTGAGAGCTGCTGATTTTCGGCTTTAGCTGAGTGGTTGTGACAACGAGGATAAAATTGTGCAGAATCAACAAATAACAGGTTTCTAGGCTCTTTGAAAAGTCACTGGAGAGAATGAAACCTGTATCTCAACTAGGAGAGAGAGATTAGGGAGATGCAGGTTCCAGCCCTGTACTGTCAGCGTTTCCCTATCTTCCTGACTATATGTTTATATAATGTCTATCTGTTTGTCTCTGTGCCTCATCTGTCTGATCACTATCTACAGTACAGGTATCTGTCTGACATAGGGTTGCAAAGGTACCGGTAATTGACAAACGTTACCGGAATCTTCAGTAATTTTGGTGATTAACAGATAATCTATGGTAATTTTGGTAATTTATACTTGAAAAATGTATTCATATATACATAACCTCCCTTTACAACTCTCGTCTGACATCTGTTTCCCTGTTCTTGTAGGGAGGCTCTGAGATGGACCCTGTTCTCCATGCAGGCAACAGGCCACGTCCTCCTGGGCTCCTCCTGCTACATCGAGCAGCTCCTGGATGAGGATGACCGGGCAGACCGGAGCCTGCCCCCACTGCCGCAGGACGGCAAGATCAAACAACTACAGAGCATCCTGATGGGCAAGACTGCTGTGATGGGCAAGATGGCTGTGATGGGCAAAACTGTTGTGTGACCTATCCCAATACTATGAACATACATCCTTCCCTTCTCCCTTCCTTGAAGTAATCACCCATCTAAATCGATTTTAAAGGTGAAAGGGAATGCTACACTACATAGCTTGCACCTATCCAGTCATGGCTGATTAGTGATCACTTCATGGAAAGGAAGAATGGATTGTCAGGATATTCGAACAGGGCTCTGCTCAGAGAGACACTCTAAAAGAGGGAATTTACTGTTTGCTATAAGGAATGGGTACAGGCAAACTGCATGACCAATACCATGGCACAGTGCTGCATCACTCTGATGTCATGGTTACTGTGGCAGGTACACACCTTTTGGTTAGGTCACTCCTCTCGGTTGATGTTTGGGACAGGAAATGCAGTGTTGTCCTACATTTTGGCTGCGATCACTTGCACTTTGTTACATTTTGTCTGTCTATATGGCTTGCAACACTCCACAAGCAAATGCACTTTTCTATTGCAGTGACTGCTGCTGGACTGTATCTTAAACTGATAGAAGGCACTTGGCTTTTTTCATATTATTAAGCAAGAATAAATCACAAGAATATTAACTTTTGAGAGACTTTATTTCCCCGCAACATAGACATCCGCACATGCACACACTTGAAGTCACACCTGAAAGCAGAGACCAGTGTACATTTGTTGTCCAACCATTGTCACATGGCAGGGCTGTGCTTCACAGTGTTGGATGTCATTATGGGTGACATGTCAGTCTGGCTCATGTGCACAGTAATTGGCAGCAGGTCTGGATGTCTCTCCCACACTCCTCTAATTGCCCCCTGTCCTGTCCTGCCAGCTGGAGCCCAGCTTCCCTTGGCCTGCTAGGGGGTGGGAGAAAGCCAGGGCCAGGGAATGGCACACAGCTGCAGGGGGCTGAAGTGGAGGGCCAAGGAAATGAGCCATTATACAGACAGACCGGAGAGAGGATGACGCTTTTGGCAGCAGCATCAACAATAGATTCACTCTCCCTTTCATCTCAAGTGAAATGGTGTCCGGAGAAAATGTTGGTAATTTACTCAAAAAATGTTGGGATGTTTCAGCTGTCCTGTCTACAATATTGAAGAGTGGTCAATAAGGGAGAGGGTATACAGACATGCCTGGTGCTCAAAATTGATGACGTATGTCGTGCAGCGAGAGTTGAGTGGGGAGGAACGGATTCGGTCCAGTTAATTCAGTCAGTTGTCCTAATGTGCCCTCACCAGTTAGCTACAATAGTTTATGCTTGTGGTTAGAAACTTCAGTGAGAATTTGAAACTTGTCTGCTGAAGTTGGGACTTGGGAGTGTTCAGAATCATTCCGTTTTTATCGGACTACAAAAGCAATAAATGTGATTTAGCTGTAACCCTGGCCTGATGCTACACTATATAGCTACTTCCCTTTAAATTACTGTAGGACAGCAGTGCAAGGCAATTGGGACTCAGGAGCGAATACTACACACCCACACACTTCAGTGTCATCACATTTACTTTATCATTTTGTTTGCTCTGCATAGATTATCTTCCTCACAACTATAGTTCCGTTTTCATAACCCTTTTACTATTTGTTCTATTGATAAAGCCTCATCTCACACCACTAGACACGGACACGATTGCTGCTGTTAGAATGTGGCCCCTTCACTTGAGCATTTACCTAATGCCCCGTGTAGCTCAGTTGGTAGAACATGGCGCTTGCAACGCCAGGGTTGTGGGTTCGTTTCCCGCGGGGGGCCAGTATGAAAATGTTTTACGCACTCACTAACTGTAAGTCGCTCTGGATAAGAGCGTCTGCTAAATGACTAAAAATGTACAAATGTAAATGAGGCAGTAAATAACATGTAGAGTACCTTTCCCCATCTCCATCCAGCTGGCATGTCTTTAATATGATTTGGTTAATGGAAACATTTGAGTGTGTTTTAATATAAACCATGCAATAATGTGGCCACATGGATGGTTTCTGTATGCCTATTTATCAGCTCATATGCAGAACATTAAAGTGAGTGGGTTGTTGGATAGCTATTTCAAGCAGGTTGACTTGATGCCCTTACATAGCTGTGTAGTGTGTTATGTCGCTCTTGGGAAGGGGTAAGGTGCCCCTGTTTTCACACCATATGAGGAACCAAGAGCACCTATGTTTTGTCTGTGTATTCTGCAGCAGTCAACAGAAGAACCTATCCTGTAACAGAACCATGCCCTCTGTATGATGCTTTCTTGACATTGGAGAGGGCAGAGAGGGTGAAAAATCCCACCTGTTTTAGCCTACATCTAGTTTAGTCACAGTAGCCGATAGCCTGCTTTTTCTCTTTCAACGTGCATGCGTTCGTGGTGGTGCTTTTTTCTTTCGTTATAGACTATTGGAAATCACTGAAATCTTGTCTAGCCAGGATTTGCCATATGCTGATGACCTTGCTTGTAAAATGTAGCACCTCCCTCCTGTCACCCAGGGCACGAAATAGTCATTACTGAATTTTACACCGCCACCGTGCAGTATGTGCAAGCCCAGTATTGGATGGAGGGAAAGCAGCTCTCCCTCTGATCTGACCAGAGGTAACGTAGTTTACTCTCCGCTGAGCATGTGGTCTCTGAAGACATTCTCAACATGACCGTGAGAGATGAGTAGGGATTCTTCGCGGTCGGCTACCTAAAACTGATGGATGATCATCTCCGACAGAGGCAATAGCACAGCTTTTACATGCAGAGATTAAAGGCTACAACAGCATCATTAGAATCATATTATATAACCATAAAACATGACATGAAATACATTGCAATATTTTGATTATTTGTCAAAGAAACAGAACACCGAGAGCGACAAACAGACCTGCTAAAGAATGTAGCTGGGAATCTCCGGGACTGGCACGAGGCGAGGTAAGTCCTGTTTCCCTATTTTACCTGAACAACTTCAAATGGTATCTAAAATGCACAGTGCATGAATTAATACATTTTAAAAAGTATGTGGCCCACATATGTGTCTACATTATTTGGCAAAGTTTTCAGTATAACAGCCTACATACAGGGCAGGCTACTTTCTTGTAGTCCAATAACACCTTTTGCTTTACAATTGTATCTGCCGTATGATAACATTGTAATAAAAAATAAATACAAAAGCTGTTTTCATCCCCCCAGGCTTTATTGTGGGAGAAACTGCTTGACACTATACAGGCTTTGAGACTGTGTTTCTCCCACACTCCTCTGGGAACACCTCCACTGCAGTCTTCAGAGGTCTGACTAGGAAAACATCTCTCTACATACAGTCTATCCAGGTGTGTGTCTGTATGTGTGGTGTTAGCCAATAGCAAAGACCAAGGAAAGAAGGTTAGCCAGAAAGTTGTCTTCATTAATTAACGTCAGATTCATTCAAACTGGCAGAATAAATAGAATAAACATCTATGCAGTCTAATTTAAGTAACTACATGATAAATAATAAAGATACTAAGAGAGAAAGAGTGATACTATTGACAGGGAGTGAAAAGTGGTACTAAAAGCAGACCGCTTCAGCGGATGAAATTAAAAATTGAGATAGGAGAAATGGAGATAGTGTCTATGGGGGGGGGGGGGGGGGGGGGGGGGGGGGAAAGGTGGGAGGAAGGAGGTAATTAGAGAGGGGTATGATCTTGATGAAAGGATTTGGATGTGAACTCTCCTCTACCTCCTGCCGTGTGTGTGTGTGTGTGTGTGTGTACTCTAGTGAAGTACTTGACAGAGAACAGAGGGCAACCTTGCAGCCAGGAGGCGAATTGCCAGGAAGTAAACTCATAATTTTAGCAAAGCGGCCTTGTGTCCACATCCCTGATCCTCTGCCCCTCCCATCCAATCAACACACAGTCACAGTCAAATACACACAGACATTTACACACAAAAGTTACACACACAAGGACACATGTACACACGTGCACAAACACAGACAGTGCACGCACACATACTATCAAAAGGCTCTTCAACCTCTTCCTCTGCATTTTCTCTCTATCTTCTCTCTCTCGCTCTCTCTCTTCTTTCTCTCTCTCTCTCCTCTTCTTTCTCTCTCTTCTCTCTCTCTCTCTCTCTCTCTCTCTCTCTCTTCTCTCTCTTTCTCTTCTTTCTCTCTCTCTCTCTCTTCTTTCTCTTTTTCTTGTTCAAGTTTTCACAGTCTGGCTATTTCAGGTCCATATTAATGTAAAAGCCCAACCATAAATTATTAATGTAGTAGGACAACACAAACCCCCATAGTTGCCAAGTGTCTCTGCTGTTTGGCCAGTTTTCCTGCAAAATAAAGGAGCTTCACAATATTAACCTAAACTAGAAGAATCTGATGAAGATAAATCACATATCAAAAATATATTATGTCAATATAATTCTACTCACTTTCTCCATCCTTAAATAGCCCTCACATAACACCCCCATAAGGCCTCTAAATACAACAACTTTTAATGGATTGTTTGGAGCTAGCTATATTAAATTAGACTCACAGAAGGCCTTATCTTCCACATCTGTCACACCAACAGTCCAACATCTTCCCCTTTTCCTGCTTTCATCCTCTTGCATTTTACTCTCCCTGTGTTCTCTCCATATTTCATGCAACCACACTCTCAACCAGAATAGCTGCGTCTCTTGCTGCTCTTTAGAGCTGTTAAGAAATGAGCAAAAATATTTTGGACCTGGAAAGAAAGGATGAGGCCGTAACACAGAATCAGTGGCTGTTAAAATTCCAGACATGGTTAATAAGCCAATCACAGTTGAACAGGCCCGTGGCCCTCGATTGGCTCTGTTGTGTTATGCTATTGGTGAAGGTCAGATCACTGGATTGGACAGATAATTCTCATTTCAAGTCGTGGAAATAATGAGTTGAGAATATGGCTCTTTATAATTAGGAGAGACCTTTACCAGTCCCTCACTATATATTGTATATTCAGCCACATCCTTATGTTTGCAGGATGGAAATATTTTGTACCAAAAGGAAGCACTGGTAGGGACCAAGAAAGCTGAAACAAGTGCAAGGGGCTATATGTGTCACAACTTCCGCCGAGGCTGCCTCCCCTCCTTGTTCAGGCAGGTTTCGTCGTCACCGGCTTACTAGCTACTGCCGATCCCATTCTCATCACTCCACTTGTCATGTCTTGTCTTGTCAATCACACACTCCTGGCGCTCATTCCCCTAATTAGTATGTGTGTAAGTGTTCCCTCTGTTCCCCTTGTCTTTGTGAGTGATTGTTTCCTTGTGAGAGCATGTAGCTCGGTTGAGCTACTCTTCCATTTGTTATTGCCAAGGTGGAATATTTCCCTTGTGATAGTTTAGTTTTGATGCTGGGTGTGTTTTATTTATGTAAACGGAATAAACTCTTGACTTTGGTGTTTTACCTCCTGCGCCTGACTTCTTCATTCACACCTCGTCACAATATGGCACTTTATATAACACATTGTGTACATTAACTGTGCATGTATACATTCTGGAAACAAACAATCTCTCTCTGCCATCTCCCCTAATGGAACACTGCTGGGGATAAAGCTATTTCCCTTCTCCACGTTTACCAACAAGACCACTTACCCTCAGCCATTGCCCTGCAGTGCTGCTTACTGTGTGTGTGTGTGTGTGTGGTACCG